GTTTGAACGGCCAACCTTCTGGTTAGCAGCCAAATGCCTTAACCACTACACCACCAGAGATCCTTAGAAAATATTTCAGTCACATTTAAATAACCTACCTCACTAACTTGTACTGTTTCAGCCATTCAACAGTGCTCCACTTTGCAGCCAATCAGGTGACATAAACCAAAACAAACCAAACTCACTGAGGCTGAGTAGATTCTGACTCATAGCGACTCTTCCTTGGGGTTTTGAGACAGTATCTCTACGGAGGTAGATTGCCCAGTCTTCCCTCCAACGAGTGGCTGGTGGCTTTGAACCACCAGCCTTCTGGTTAGCAGTTAAATGACTTAGGCACTACACCACCAGAGCTCCCTCAGGTGATATAAGGAGGAGGGAAAAGCTGAAAAGAATTGCTTATGTTTAAATATATGAAAAAACCCACTTTCTGGCATTATTTCTTACCAGTGCTACATTTGGTTTGCTGTCACTGGTGTTCTGTAATATGTTCTTTGACAGCTGCAGGGGATGGAAGAAATTAGTTCTTTAAATGGAACAATCAATCTTACCTCTTCTGTCTACGATGTATCTGAATTAAGAACATTTCAGCCCCATCCAAACACCTTCTTTCTAAGACCTTGCTTCACATGGGAGAGAAGTATATATAAGGAATATGGGAGAAAATCTAAGTGACCTTGGGTTTGACATTGACTTTTTAGATACAACACCAAAAACATTATCAATAAAAGAAAAAAAAAAAAAAAGGATACATTGCCATCATTAAAATTAAGCACTTTTGCCTTCTGGGAGCCCAAAGGTGGGATTATGCTATTTTGATTAACCAGAAAGGAATAGTTTTAGTTGATGCCTGGGAGATTTTGCACTGTGGGCTGATGCGCCTTGCTAAGGTGCCAAGGGGTGGAGGGCAGTTGCTTTCTGTTGTAACATGAGAAGGTGTAATTGTGAAAAGGAGGCGGATCAGTGGAGCAGGCTTGATGTCTTAACCACAAGTGCATTCTCACACAGGCACATTTTAGGGAAGACTGCAGTTGAACAGGGGAGCTCTGGTAGCATAGTGGCTAAGACACTTGCCTGCTAACCAGAGGGCTGGCGGTTCAAACCCACCAGCCACTCCTCGGAAGGAAGGTTGGGCAATCCTACTTCCGTAGTGATACTGCCTCGGAAACCCAAGGAGGGGTCGCTATGAGTCGGGTTTGACTCGACGGCACATAACAACAACAACAACAAAGCAGTTGAACAGAGGAGTCGGAAATTAATTCCTTTAAACCTGCCCTTGTTCACATCCCCTTTAGGAAGGAAGAGTCTACGGATACATGGACCCCCTAGTCTGAACACTGCCACCCTGCAGCTCTTGGCACAGAAGTGAACACTAACTGCTCCGTGGGCATTTACATAACTGAATCATCCCAGTAATAATTCTGCCTGTCTTCTCTCTCTTGCCCCACGTAGATACGAGATAGAGATTAATAGACGCACAGCTGCTGAGAATGAGTTTGTGATGCTCAAAAAGGTAAGGGGGGAACAGGAAGGGCCAAAAAAGCCCAGAAGGGCTTCCTGAGCAGACAGCACAGTGATGTTTGTAGGATGTAAGGTGGACACTGGGAGCCCTTGGGGCAGAGTGACTGGGATTCATACTTTCCGGCTTCTCCCTCTAAATCCTTGCCTGGGATGCATGCTGCTTAAAATCCAGCTTAAAATGCAGGCAGTTTGCCACACTGCTGCTGCAACCATGTGTACCAGTCAAATTAGTTCATTTGCTGGATAGTTCTCTTGGGGCCTGGGCCCTCCCTTGTGAAGCATGAAGTGGGGGGATGGAGAAAGATGTTTACACATGGCTCTTACTAGGGAACCCAAGGCCCTTCATGGCAGTGGGGAGGGGAAAGTAGGGAAGTTGTTCCCTCTCAGAGTAGCCTAACTGTCATGTGTTCCCCAGGATGTGGATGCCGCCTACACAAACAAGGTTGAACTCCAGGCCAAAGTGGACTCCTTGACAGACGAGATCAAATTCTTCAAGTGCCTCTATGAAGGGGTAAGAACTTGGTTGACCTCTCTTTTGTGGTTTGCTCCTGTTATAAGTGACTCTAGCCTTTGTCTGCAGCCTGGATGTTTGTGTGGGCCCAGGGTTGGGAGGGAGAGGCCATTCAATTCAGTGTAGATGACATTCACCAAGGCCCTATTATGTGCTGAACATTTAGCTATGATTTGAGGAGACTATGATGGTGAAGAAATGATTGCTATGCTCAAGGAGGTGACAGTCTTGTAGGGTAAACATGTTGATGAGTTTTGGGGAGAGCCAAGGAAGGCATGGTGAGTTCTGCCTGAGCTCTCAGGAAAGGTTCCTGGAGAAAGATCAAGAAGATGAAGAAGATTTCAGTGAGTGTGGGGAAGGGCATGGTGTTCCAGGCTAAAGAAGCAGCACAGATGAGGACTCAGAAGCCTGAGAGGTGCTAGGGCATAAGGGGCATGGGAGGATGAATGTAGAAGCCTGGAGTGGGTTGAGGACACTGGCTCTCCTTAGAAGGCTCAGGATGCCACAGGCAGTTTAGTCTTGATTCTGTGGGTGAAGGGGAGTCATTGTGGTTTTTGAGGAAGAGGGTGTGGAATAGGGGTAGCAGAAGCCCTGAGTGCATGATAGAGAGATGAGTCCCACCTTTTGGAGCTGCAAGTTCAAGACCTTCATTCTCATAGGCATGGTAGGCTGCTGGTAGGGTCTGCTGGAGGCAGCATTCAAACACTGAAGAAGGGCAGAAGATGATGGCAAGGAATTTGCCCCAGGGAGGGTCAGGAGAGGTTGTGGCTTCATGGAGACTCTAGCTGGACCACTTCTTCCCACTGTTACCCAGGAGATTGTGCAGATGCAGTCCCACATCAGTGACACGTCTGTCATCCTGTCCATGGACAACAACCGTGACCTGGACCTGGACAGTATCATTGCTGAGGTTCGCACCCAGTATGAAGACATTGCCTTGAAGAGCAAGGCTGAGGCTGAGGCCCTGTACCAGAGCAAGGTGAGAGCTGAGTATTAGGTATGATGAAGCACCGTGACCATAGCTGCTGCCCTCTTATTGTGCATGTGTGTAGGTACGCATGTGTGTCTTTAGGTATGTGCATGGATGTGTATCTGGGCCCAGCAGGGACCACCTTTGTCCTAGTGCTGAGCTTTGTTGACTCACCAAGCCCAGAGAACTCAGCTACAGTTTCGAGATGTGCTAGGGACACATATGAGGCTTAGCTTTTCTCTTGCTGTAGCCCTTGGCTGATAGCTGAGTCCCCATCAGCCATAGTGTCCATGGGTAAGCCACATATCTCTGTATTTCTTTTTGTTTTCAACTTTGGCAAAATGAGGACAGGAAATTCAAACTCTACAGAGGTTCTCATCCTAGAGATACCGAGTATCCTGTTGAACTTGAGCAGGGCCTTTCTGCTCAGAAGGGAGAGAGAATGTGCCTTTCCTCTTCCTTCTTCTCATCACTTCTTTCCTTTTTCCCTCCCTCCTTCCTTCCTCACTTGTACCTATACAGTTTAAGATCGAGATGGCTTGTGAGCACCCTCCCCTATCTCCATGCTAACTAAATCTCCTTAACCAGGGTGAATTCTCAATGGTCCTTCTCTTGTCATCCAATCCCAGATCCAGGAGCTCCAGGTATCAGCAGGTCAGCATGGCGATGACCTGAAACTCACCAAGGCTGAGATCATAGAGCTCAACCGGCTGATCCAAAGGATCCGCTCAGAGATTGGGAGTGTGAAGAAGCAGGTGGGTCTCTGAAATGGGTCACATAACAGGGGTTTATTGAGCACCAGTGTGTATGAAACAGAATATGGAAGAAAGGTAAGACTCGGCCCCTCCTAAGGGAGTTTACAATCTCTCAGGAAAGCACAGCCAGCACACATGTAGAATGAAAAGGTATCCCACACCCCATTTGGCCACTTTGTAAATGCTGGGGGAGTTCAGAGGGGCTGGAGGTGAATGAGGCCCAGAGGGAAGTTTCCTGCAGGAGGCAATTACCTTGAGCTGGAAGGATCTAGGAGCCAGGTGAGGCCTGGATCAGGGGTGGGGATGTCTATGGCATGTGGGGGAGGAGACCTGCCTACTTGTTGCAGAATGTCCACAATGGGAATGGGAGTGGCAGGTAGCAAGGATCCACTGGGTAGGAATGGGCAGGTTATAAGAAGCTTTCAAAGTCAGGCAGTAGAGGTTAGATTGGTTACAGAAGTAGTTGTAGATTGCAGATTTCACAAAAAAGAATCATGGCCAACAGTGGATTTTAGAACAGACTACAGAAGGAAGTACTTCCCACCATAGCCTAAGGGCTCTGCACTGGCCTTCCCTGTGATTGTGACTGTGGGGCTGCAGGCACAGAGGATTCTTTCTGGGAATGCATTATTGGTCCACACCTGTAGTTCCTCATAAATGTGGGAGGGGTCTTTTACCTGTTGATGAAAGTAGTTTCCTAGCATGGTAGAAACAAGCAAACCCAAGTTTCCCAAAGTCTGTGGAGGCCAGTGCAAAGATTAAGGCTCAGCTTCCAGGGCAAGTCAAGTTGCCCTGTCTCCTTGTCCTCTCCTTCACTGCTTCCTCCCACTCCCCCACTGCACCTGTACAAGCAGGGAAGAGGAAGGAAGAAGGAAGGTTCTTGTCATGCACTGGGCTCAGTGGAAGAAGGAAGACCAGCATTCACTAAGAGTTTATAGTGTTGTTGTTATTATTATTATTTTAAATCAAGATGTACATAAATACAGGAAAAATATAAGGTGTTTAAAGCTACTCTCTGCATTCAATTACGTTGTTTGATAAAATACTACATGTTCACGGTTGGATGAGCTTATTACCAGAAAGAGACTTCTTAAAGTGATCAGAATGACACTGTGTAATGGAAGTCAGGGAAGATGTCCTCCGTAGGGAACAAGTGGGGTCACTCACAAAGCATGGTTTCCATTTCGGCTCCTCTTGAGGGCTCTTAGCCCAGGTCCTTTTCTGACCTTCTGGCCCCTCCCAACAAAGAAGAAGCTCACAATTTCACCTGTGGAGTGGCATTTGGTGGCCCCAGAATCCATTTGAGTATTTGTCTCAAAGAAGGAGAGAATTTCACCTCCTCTTAACTTGGATCACATTCATCAGATCCAGGCTTTGAAACCTCAGGTTGACCCCAGCCTTGATCAAGAGCAGAGAGTAGTTTAACTGAATTCAGAGCACAGTTTATTTCTACCCCTCACCCCCAACCCAGACTCTAGAATGTGACATGGATTTCCACAATTGGACAATCGGGCCTTTGGTGTCTCCTCTGAGGCTGTGGGTCACTCATCCAAAACATAGTGGTGCTTGTACTGTTGGAGGCCTGCTTGGCCAAGGAAGGTGGTGCTAAGGACCTGGCCTCAGGTCCAGCTGCTCTACTTGGGATAAGGCAGACTTTACTACCTATCCCAGAAAGAGAATCCGAGTACCTAACCAAAATTAAACCCATTGCCATCATGTCAGTTTTGACACCCGGAGACCCCATGTGTTATAGAGTAGAACTGCTCCATAGGGCATTCTTGACTGTTATCTTTACAGAAGCAGATTGCCAAGCCATTCTTCTGTGGTGCCACTGGGTGGTTTGAATTGCCAACTTCAGATTAGCAGCTGAGCACAAACTGTTTGTGCCACCAGTCCCCCAAAACCTTAGCTGAGGGACCAGAACATACACCCAAGATTCAAAGGCTTAAGAGGTCCACCTGGGAGCTTTCACTTAAATGCAAGCCCAGAGCTCCTTCTGTAGTTTTCTCTAACAAGGTTTCATGTTTCCACTTAATAACAGCTGTTTATAAAAGTGTAAAACCTGTGTACAAAAGTATCTTTTATGCCTGTTGCCTTTTGGCATGACCCTCTGGGGAATTTTGAAGGCCAGATTAAGTATGGCAGGTTTATCTGATAGATATTATTATTAATAGAAACTTTATGAGCCCAATTCCCGCCCCCCACAACACACACAATTTATAGGATCTCCCAAAACAACCTTTACACTATGGGGCTGAATCAAGTCCAGCCACCCAGGGATTTTTATCGGAGTTGGCATTAGATTCTTACAGCTGATTTTACAGACCAGGAGGGAGCTACCCCCTTCTCAGTGTCCTTCTACTTCACCTGGAGTCAGGGGGAAGGACAGATTAACCTCTGGTGATGTCCAGAATTAGATAAACCAGAGGGTCTCAAGGCATTTGCTTCAGTCAAGACCAAGTGAGGGGAAGTTGCACGAACAAGATCTCAGAACTGGGATCTGACTCGGAGGCTGAATCTGTTTCCTGCTCAGTGTGCCAACCTGGAGACAGCCATCGCTGATGCCGAGCAGCGAGGGGACTGTGCTCTGAAGGACGCCAGGGCCAAGCTGGATGAGCTGGAGGCTGCCTTGCACCAGGCCAAGGAGGAGCTGGCCCGGATGCTGCGTGAGTACCAGGAGCTCATGAGTGTGAAGCTGGCCCTGGACATGGAGATTGCCACCTACCGCAAGCTGCTGGAGGGCGAGGAGTGGAGGTGAGGTACCCGATACCTTTAGTCTGGGACAGTTATCACTTTAATAGAAAGATGGAAGGCAAACAGTTTGGTTTTGTTCAGGTCCACTGGGGATGAGAATGAAGTAGGCCAAAGTTAGTAAGAAGGACTACACACACACACACACACACACACACTGCCCTACAGGGTTTCCAAGCCTGTAAATATTTATGGAGGCAGACTGCCACATCTTTCCGCTGTGGAGCAGCTGGTGGTTTTGAATCACTGACCTTTCAGTTAGCAGTCAAGTGCTTATCCACTGCACCACCAGGACTATGTTGTAAAAATATCAAAGAGGTGGTGAGAAAGCAACATCAAAGTTGGAGATATGGCACACCCACCCCCTGGCCCTTTATGAAGCATTCTTGCTGCTGGGTGGGGGAGGGGCAAGATGACCTTCAAGAGTCATCCAAGTTCCAAGTCACTCTGACAAAGCCTGGAACCCAGACAAGAGGTCAGTTCCTTCCTCTTAATTGTCTACAACCAATAGCACAACTAGAGGAAAGCAGAGGCACAATTATCCCACACAACAGATAATCCCAAAACACCTCAGGTGGAGGGCTGGTACTTATAGCAAGTTATCATTTTAGTTCTTCATTTTCTGAGAGCTACCCCTGGAATCTGTGGGATGGAGTAGGGGCTGGCACATCTCTCGAGGAGAAACTAATTCACAGTTACCCCTGGATAGTCTGAATACATGAGGTGATTGTTTATGGAGGATTTAGCTTTTTTTTTTTTTTTTTCCTTTCCCCTTCTCAGGATGTCTGGTGAATATCCAAATTCTGTGAGCATCTGTAAGTACCTACAGGTCTTGGTCTTGCCTTTATTAGAAATCTAATTCCAGGACACAAAAGAGAAGTCAGAATAACAGATGTTTCAGGGCACAAAAAGGAAATTGGTTCAAGTAACCAAAGGAAGCATGGGATGGAGAAAAATCATGATGTCACGAAATACAAAAGTATAGCCTACAGAAAGATCAAATGATACCTAACCATGCATATATAATCCAAAATTGTGTTGCAAGAATGAGATTACTGGCTACATTCTATCTCTATTGAAGCCAGGGCGACATGGAAGGCCTTAGAGTGCAGTAAGAGAGATTGAAGTTAGCCTGAAAGGCTCAAGGATGAGAAAAGAGCTGAAACAACTTCCTCCAGATTTGAAAACCAGTAAGAGTGCAGGTGAAGTGCTATATTACTAAGAGTCAGGAATACTCCCAGCAGCCCCTTTCTCCAGCAGCAACAGCAGCAGAAGGCCCCAATGACATGCCTGTCTTCATTTGGTCCTACCCATGGTGAAGTTCACTGATAGAACCCTGTCTGCTAAAAGCTTGAAGTCTGGCATTGATAGATTGACATAGGCTGATGTACCCACTGAAAACACATTGCCATCGAGTCAATTCTGACTCCATAGGATTTCCAAGGCTGTACGTCTTTATGGAAGCAGATTGCCTCATCTTTTTCCTGCAGAGCAGCTGGTGGGTTTGAAGTGCTGACCTTTTGATTAGCATCTCAGTGCTTTCACCACAGCACAACCACAGCTTCTAGGCTGATATGTTATTTGTTGTTATATGCCGTGGAGTTGGACCCAACTCATAGTGACCCCTCCTTGGGTTTCTGAGCCGGTATCACTACAGAAGTAGATTGCCCAATCTTCCTTCCAAGGAGTGGCTGGTGGGTTTGAACCGCCAGCCTTCTGGTTAGCAGTCAAGTGCCTTAGGCACTATGCTACGATATAGAAAGGGCCAATTACATAAAAAATGAAGCCACACACCAGGTCAGTGCTGATAGAAATCTCTTAGTAAACTAAAAATATACAACTGAGAGACTTGTCTCCACATGAAGCCACCACAGGTCAGAGAGTGTAGGTAGTGTCTGGGGGTGCCCAGGAAGGGCTTTGAAGCAGGGTGCAGGGCTGACTAGGGCTGGGGTCTTCTCTCATCCACTCCAGCGGTCATCAGCAGCACCAACGCTGGGGCAAGCGGGGCAGGCTTCAGCCTGGGCTTTGGCGCCTCCAGTAGTTACAGCTACAAACCTGCGGCCACCGATGTCAAAACCAAAGGCAGCTGTGGCAGCGATTTCAAGGACCCCCTTGCCAAAACCTCAGGCAGCAGCTGTGGAACAAAAAAGACCTCCAGATGAAGGGCGGCAGAAAGTTCCAGAACCCATGCATCTCTTTCCTCTCCGCCCCATCGGGTTCTGTCTCCATCCAGCAAATGCCTCCTCCTGTCACCATATCAGCCCCACCCCCCTTCCTGCTGTCCTCAGGGGGGTGACGCTCTGATGGGGGCAGTCCAGTCATGGGGTCTTTTGGCGACCACTCCTCCTCAGTCCCTGTCACTGGATCACTGTTCCAGAATGCAGAGAGAATACACATACCCAGGTGACAGCCCTTCCTCTCCCCTGCCTTTCTTGGGCCTTCACTGCAAGGGGTTCTCTTTATCCTGTGGTTTGGATCATGTCCAGTTCTCTGCTTCTCTCTCAATAAATGATCAATTCTGTTTGGTTCTCAGGATGGAATAATCTGTTACCCAGGATGCTGACATGTGCATTGCCCTGTCTAAGTTTTCCTGGTATAACTCATGCAGCCCTCAGGGTCCTGGCCAGATAGGGATCTTGCTGTCTGCATTGCATGACAGCTGATCTTAGTGAACAGCTGAGTTTTATTACTGATGCTGCTACCAGGCGGTCTTGGCACTTTCCATGCACAGTGTCACCTATCCAACACAACAGCCCTGGATGAGCAACATCATGCCCGTAATACAGAGGCTCAAGGAAGCTACGAACAGGAGGCACCAGGACTGTGAGAGGTCAGAGCTTCAATGTGGCTTCTAGCTCATATTCTCAAAAGCACCCACAGTTGACCACACTAACTGCCTGTAGTTGCTAGAGTGGTCATGCTTTATTTTATGTTTTTACCTTCTGCCAACACATTTCCCAGTCCTACTCTCCTGCAGTCATCCTGGTTTCTTCCTCTTCCAGCCACTTTCTTTTCCACCCTGAAGTTAGAGGCTTGTGTGCATATCTGTTTATGGCTGCATCAGTATCCATTGTGCATATGTAGTAGTCAATTCATTGACCATATTTTTAGTGAGCACTGACTGTGCCCAGCGTTGGTGAGGCACTGGGAACAGCAGAGTAAATAAAACAGGCTCAGACCCTCAGAGCTCACCTTCTAGTGGGACTAAGAAGACAAAGAACTAACAAAGATATATAATAAGGTGTCAAGGAGTGAGAATTATTACTAAGAAAAATGAAATGGAATTAAGAAACCATCCAGAGAGATGCAAGGATGCTCTTATAGATGTGCGTGTTTCTGCAAAAGTGTTTTCTGGGGGGTTGTTTAGCATAGCCAATTTGAACAAGGTGCACATTACAGGACTGTGAAGGTCATGGCCATCTTACAAGTGTGGGCCTCATTTCAGAGTGGTATTCAGGGGGCCCATGACCCCTTCTCCTTCTACATCATTTCCTATCCTTACACCCTAGCCTGTCTCCAAATATGCCATGAATTTTCACACCCATGCACTTTGCTAATCTCAACTGCAGGTGCCCATCCACCATTGAGTAAAAGCCTGCTCATTCTTCATTGTGCAACATTTCAGCCATGTCTTACTTTTCCTGGTCCCTCCAGGTGGAATCTATTGAGTTATCAAACATTAAATGACAGGCAACATTTTAGCCACTTGGCCCATTATCATCCCTGTCCATTTTATTGGCAAGCAGACTGAGACCCAGGTGATTGTGATCTCCCCAAGTTCCAGTACTGGTGAGTGGCAGGGTTGATACCCACAGCACCCACTGACAGTTGATGCTTTAGTTTCCCATAGTTGTGTTAGCTGCTTATGTATCTCTCCCCTCACCCTACCCCTCCTGCACCTTTGTCCCAGGGTCCTCAAGTGTGGCTCATAGCAGGCACTCAATTCACATTTGCTGCAGGAATGCAAGTGATGACATGCAAATGATGAAAATCATTTGCATTAATAAAGTTTATGTGTGTTCACATGTGTGCAGTTATATAACTTATTGTCTAAAGGGGGATACTTTTATTCTGGATAAGTGCTACCCAGATCCTAAGACAGCAAGCCAGGGCTGTCTCAGGCAAATGGTTCCCTGGGTCTAACATACTGGTTGAGTCATTACATATTTGGCTTCAGATCTGGGCTTTTCCAACTGTTAAGTGTGACCTAGTGCAAAAGAGCCCCAATAGTGTAGTCATTAAGTGCTTGGCTGCTAACCAGAATGTTGGCAGTTTGAACTCACCAGTCGCTCCATGGGAGAAAAGATGTGGCAGTCTGCTGCTGTAAAGATTACAGAATGTCTTATTGTGTATGTTTTCACCACAATAAAAGTGAAAAAAAAAAAAAAAAGATTATAGTCTTGGTAACCCCATGGGGGCAGTTCTACTTTGCCCTATGGGGTTGCTATGCATTGGAATCGGTTCAATTGCAATTGATGTTGGTTTTTGGTTTGGCCTAGTGCAAGATCTTGTAAAAGAGGATCCACACAAGCCAGCATTTATTGGGTACTTTCTACATGGTGCTACTCTTCTCAGCATTAGCTCTTCTAAACAACTCATTTGCAACTCAATTAATTCTCCAACAACCTGAAACACATTTTTGTTCATGTTAGATGATGTCATTATTATGTTCTTTCACTTATGAAGTTACTGAGGCTCAGAAGGACTAAATAACCATCAGTAAATGGTTGAGTTAAGAGTTGAACCCTAGTTCAACTGCTCACAGTTATGACATCTTATTATCTCACAAAGTACTCACCTTAGAGGAGAACTGAGAATATTAAAACACTTAGCATAGTGCCTAGAATACAATTTGTAGCTAATAGAGTGTCATCATGAAGAATGCTGAGATACCACAGACTGCTAAAAGATCTAACAAATCTGTCCTGGAGGAAGTACAGCTGGAATGCTCCTTGGAGGTGAGAATGGCCAGACTTCATCTCCCCTGCTTTGGTCATGTTGTCAGAAGGGACCATTCCCTGGAGAAGGATGTCATGCTTGGTAAGGTGGACGATTGATGAAGGAAGGGAAGGCCCTCAACAAGATAGATTGACACAGTGGCTGTGGCGATGGGCTTAACTATAGCAAGGATTGCAGAACTGGTGCTGGACCAGGAAGTGTTTTGTTCTTCAGTGCATAGGGTCACTATGAGTTGGAGATGACTGGATAGCACCTAACAACAACAACAACAACAGGGAGTCCTGGATGGTGCAAACGGTTAACACACTGGGCTGCTAACTGAGAGGATACAGGTTCAAGTCCACCCAGAGTTGCCTCAGAAGCAAGGCCTGGCAATCTACTTCCAAAAATCAGCTACTAAGAACCCTGTGGAGCAGTTCTATCTGACACACATGGGGTTGCTATGAGTTGGAGTCTACTCCACTGCAACTGTTTTATTATGATGATTATAGTGATTTTTATTAAGGCGTGTTTGTGAGACTTCTGTGTTTGCTGGCTGGGCACTAGCCCATGATTGAGAGGTGTGGATTAGCAGCAAGACTGTGCCCAGAGATCTGGTCCAGTGGGCTACGTGAGGGTTGGAGGGCACAGGTTCTAGTCCTTAACACACTCCCATCCAGTCAGCAGCTGCTATTTTCCAAGTAGAAGTACACCTTGGTGCCTCTATTTTGTACACACACTGCCCTCTGCCATCAGCTCTAGGTACTGCACTTTTCAACCCTGTGGCCCTGGAGGAAAGTAGGGCCTATACTGAGACAGGGTGTGGGCTGATCTTGGACAGACTCTGTGCCCATTACCGAATTGCCAACTGGCGGGGATGCGGTTTCTCTCTCTGCCAAGCCCAGGCTGGCCCCAGCATCTGTGTTGCCCCGGCCTCAGCTCCTGTCTCCCCTCCCTCTTCTCTCTGACTTCTCTTCTTATAGGAGAGAGGTGGGGAGGCTGATGCCAGCCACCAGTGCCTGAACTTCTTCCCCTCTAGAGAACCTAGGGCCTTCAGATAGCTCTTTCTCAATAAGCTCCTGAGAATATTAGTGCTGGTCTGGAGGTCCTATCACTCAGCAGTACCTCCCTCTCCTGAACCAATCAGCCCTGGGCACAAGAGGAGCCCTCTAAGAAACCCCTGTGATGAGTGAATGATACAGGCATTTCATTGCATCATCATGTCATTCCTACCCTTGTACCCTAGTGGCTACAGAGAAAGGAAGGGATTGAAGCTGACAGTAGACAATTTGGGAAGGTTCCTGGAGGAGAAGAAAGGACATGGATTGTTGGAGAGAGGTAGTTTCTTTTAGACGCTTAAGCTCTCATTTGCAGCTGCTCTGGGGTTTGCATGGCCTTTGACAACCTCCAACCTTCCTTTTGGGAGCTCTGGTGGCATAATGCCCAAGGCATTTGACTGCTAACCAGAAGGCTGGTGGTTCAAACCCACCAGCCACTCCTTGGAAGGAAGGTTGGGCAAACTATTTCTGTAGTGAAACCACCTCAGTAATCCAAGGAGAGGTTGCTATGAATCGGATCCGACTCGACGGCAGTACGTTGTGTTTGTTTCTGTTGCAACCTTCCTTCTACTGCCTCTACCACTTCTGACCCCTGCAGGTGACCACTCAGTCCTAACATTCACATTTGGCCACAAGATAGGCTGAGGGAGTCTCTCTTCTCCTGAAAACCACCTATCCCATCCCTCCACCCCTGTGAGTCATCCATGTCACATCCCTGCTAAGATGCAGAACCCACTTATAAGTGTACCTACCCCTTAAATCCCTTCTTGTTAGCTCCAACTCATCCATCCCAGGAAGACTGAGCTATTCCTCCTAGACCCAGCTCTCAAGGATTCCAGATCCTTCTTGCTGGAACCTAGATGTGGCACCACATTCCAGATTCAAACTGCTTCTGGCTCATGACCTGAACCATAGCTCAATGGACCCAGAGCTGGAAAGGATCTTGGAGGACATCCTTGATATAAGGACACACACTTTGCTGAATCTTTTTTTTTTTTTTTTTTTGCCACTTACTGTTTTCCTCCTCTAGCTCCTCACTTACAAAGTGGCAAAAATAAGAGTATTTTTCTTATGTGATTGGTGCAACGATGAAATTAATTGAAGAGTGCAGGGTTTAGCACTGTGATGACTGTGTAGCAAGCCCTCAATAAATGAGCACTCCTTGT